TTGGTGTGGGGGAGGATAAACAGTGTAATGTTTTCTTTCTTCTGCAACAAATCCCATTAGCTAATTTAAACATAAGATTAAAATCAGTCTGGGGGGGGGTAAAGAACTCAGTAAAAAAGCAAGTAGCTCCCTGTCATGTTTTAAATCCAAACCCATTTAAAAATCAGCAACAACAAAAATATCTGCCTGCCCCGCCCCCAATCCTTAACCGGTCCAATTCTTCCCTCCCGGGCGGGATCCACGGCTACATCTAAGTGGATTTGTCTGCCTTGAGTTCTTGATGGTCCAACCAATTCCTTCTCCTCCCCTTCTCGAAAGAGTCAAGCCTAGCTCAGTCTGTGATGATTTTACTACACCAGCCATTCCTGGAGAGCAAACTAAATGGCTTCAACAATGTTATTATCTTACAGGGTTTAACAACTCTAACCAATAAAAGTGTTCCGGATTCAAAACACCAAGGCGTTATTTGCAGCCCTCTGTCGTGAAAAGACTATTGGAGAAGGTAAGAAAAGCCCGTGAAAGGAACAGTCTATTGGGAAATTTAGCCTCCTAAACAAGACAAGGCCTGCCCCCCCCAAGGGGTACGGCTCTGAAACGTGACCTTCCTTCACCTTTATGAAGTAGGGTTTCCCGAACTCCCCGCTGAGATGCTGCTTCCAGCTCTCCCCGAAGCCCACCGGCACGTTGCGGGCCGCGAGCCGGAGCAGGGCTGCGGCCTTGTTCCTCTGGATGCGGCCCAGCTGCTCGGGGCTCAGGGGCGAAGACGGCGGCGTGCCCGGCTCATCCTGCCCGGCTCGGATCTTCTTGGCAGGGCTGGCCTGGAAGGGGTCCCCACAAAGGCGGGTCACGAACCGCACCGGCCCTAGCTTCCGGCCCAAACCCAAAGGTGGATGGCAAAAGACGCCCATTGGTGGGGCAGGAAGGAGCCAAGCCAGACAACCGAAACTTAAAACGCAGAGGAGTCGGGAGCCAGCCCGCAACACCCCCACGAAAGCCGCCCGCGAGGGGGACCCCGGGCCCGGGCGCCCCGCTCTGCGAGACCCGCCTCACGCGCCCCACGTGGCCTTTTCGCGGCAAAACCCTTCCGGTCCGGCCCCCTCGCTCCTGTAATTGGACGGCGGGCTTCGCAGGGCGGAGCCGCTCAGCGCTGATTGGGTCCCGTGGCCACCGAGGCTCGACTCCATTGGCCGGGCTCCCAGCATGGCGGCCCGTGAGGGACGCCGGCGGCTGTTTTGAACACGTGGAAGCTGTGCGGAGCGCAAGGCTCCGGGGGAGCGAGTCAGCGGTGCACCTCACGCCCCCACGGGCAGGCAAGACTCCCTGTTTTCTTCCCCTTTCCTGTCCCTCGTCCCCAGCTCCCCGACAAGGTCCCTCGTCAGGTCTCACCGCCTCCTCGCCGCTCTCCTCAGCTGCGGCCGCCACGCCGGTCCCCGGGGCGGCCGGCTCGGGGCTGCAGGCAGGTCGCTTCCGGGAGGGGTTCGGGGAGAAGAAGGAGTAGAGGGTCTTCTGGCCGATCATCCCGGAGTCGGAGAGGGAGCGGACGCGCGGTGCCTAGGGACCCGAGGCTGGCGCGCTCGGCGGCGGGCGGGTTTGCGTTTGGCGCCAAATGGCCCGCGCATGCTCCGAGCGGGGTGGAGGCGGGGGGTGGTGGTAGTGGTTAGGGGCTGGGGGATCCAGTGCGCATGTGCCGGAGGGGATGGGCGCCTCGCCCCCGGGGTAGGTGGGACCTGGGAGGCCTGAGCTGGATTCCTCCGTTGTGTTGTCCCTTTGACTCCACCCCTCAGCAGTGTAAAAAAAGAAACCTGGGTTGCCTTGGGGTGAATGAAGTGAGCCTGATAATAGTTACTAATCTACTTTCCACCACCCTGTCTACGGAGAGTGAAGACTTTGAGCTGGGAAAACATTTGGCACAAGGTTTTATTTATCCAGGAAACTGCGCTGCCTGACCCCTGGGTTAGAAACTCAACTACTCTCCCAAATCTGGAGTGAATGGACAGAGATAAGAGATTTCATCAAGGCAACTTACTTTTGCACACACACAAAGTGCAATACGGTTCCTCTACCCAGAGCTAGGTAGAGCAATGTGCTAGTTTTTGCTTTGTTTTGTGTGCCAGTCCTGGGGCTTGAACTCTGGGCCTGGGCGCAGTCCCTGAGCCTCTTTGTGCTCAAGGCTAGCGTCACTTCAGCCACAGATTGGCTTTGGGCTTTTTCTGACTAGTTTATGGGAGATGAGAGTGTCATAGATTTTTCTGCCCGCGATTCTCACATCTCAGCCTCCAGAATAGCTAGGATTACAGACGTGAGCCATCAGCAGCCTTTCTCCTGTGCCTGCCTCCCTCCCTCTGCATAGACCTTTGGGAGTGTGGATCCTAGCTCCTCCTCCTTATCAAGGAGTTAGGCTCACATTCTAAGTATGATTGATTACCAAGGCTAGAAAGGGGGCTATTCTTTAATTCTTATAAAAGGTTTACTCCCCTCCCCCCCCCCACAGCTGGCTGGGGGCGAGGCTGATGAGGGATGGCTGACCAATACAGTTGGAGGAGGTTGATGAGGTCAGTGGAAAACTCCCACTCCAAAGGGGGACTTAATTCCTTCTAACTCTGTTGATAAAAGATGTATCTTCCTAACAAGCAGCACACCTGGTAGTTGGTAGTTGGTTTTATTTTTTTTTACTCCTTTGATAAAAATTCATCTCCCTAACTTGGCTAGCTGGTCATAAATAGGACAGATAATAGTTATAATTGAGTTAAAAGGGGAAAAAAGCAAAATGAAGTTCAGAAAATAACAATATACAAGATGAAGGCACTTTGGTTTGACAGAAAAGACTGCTTTTTTCTCACACCTTGACTCCAGCATACACATCTGGGATTCTTCTCTTTCTTATAGCAAATCTTGAATTCCACAGCAACAGTTCCCATAGCCTGGCTGCAATCCCTTAGCTGTTCTCTTTCCTATCCAGGGATTCTTTTTGAAACATAAATTACATCTTACTTCCAGCTTCCCATCACTTCCAAACTGCTTCCAATGCCAAGTGAATCCTGATACTTAATCTGGTTTCCTTGCAGGTCTCCCTGAGGCCTTACACACACACACACACACACACACACTCCTCTGTCTAGAAAGCTATGGCATTACTCAGTACTTTTTAAGGAAGGTCTACCTCACCTTCCAAACTCTCACTCTCTTTATAGCTTCACTGTTAACCATAATGTCATATTTACTCTTGTTCATTTCTGTCACCATCTCCAAAATGTAGCCAGGGCAAGGGCAGGAATTTTATTCTGCTGATGTGTACCAATGGCCAGGACAAGGAGGGAACAGGTAGGAAGGAAAACAGCTGGTGGTTGAACAGTGCCCTTATAGCCCCCTTGAAAAAGTTAGGTGTGTATATGAAGTTTGCTTACATTTATCCTGCGTGGTAAGAGCACTGTTGGAAACCTAGACTGACACCCTTGTGTCCTTCCATAATTTTAGAATTTAGTGAATAACAAATTCACAAGTACGTCCATTTTGTTGGCTTAATTTCCAAGTATTACTAAGGTCAAGTTTTTGCCCAAGGCTAGTGCTTTACCACTTTGAGCCACAGCTCCACTTCTGGTTTTTTGGTGGTTAATTCAGGATAAGAGTCTTAGGGGCTTATCTGCCTGGGCTGGTTTTGAACTGTGATCCTCATATCTCAGCCTTCTGAGTAGCTGGATGACAGGCATGAGCCACTAGTACCTGGCCTTGGTATGTTCTTTTATCCCACTAATATTAATTCTCAGATCACACATAATACTTTTTTTTTTCTGCTTATGTGGTACTGAGGAATCAAACCCAGGGCCTCATGCATGCAAGGCAAGCACTACCACTGAGCCACCTTCCCAGGCCCACACATAATACTTAATAGAGAGGATACAAAATGACAAGGGGTTGGGGGAGGGAGTTCCAAGAGGCCTTGCCTAAGGCAAGTGCCGGGATGGTAAAGGGAGTTGCTGCTGGTGACTCGGAAAGATTCTGGTAGACACTTGTCCCTGAGTGCTTGAGGCAATTGGTTTCAGGCTTACCAGATCTGGCTGAATGGCAGTTCCAGTGAGTATTGTCTGTCACGTAAACAGGGTAATGGAACTCAGCTAGAGCCTCCCACCCCAAGATATAGACACATTTTATAGTAACTGGGAGAAGGCTGACATGAAAAGGTACACACACACACACACTTCCATTCATTTGAAATTTTGGGGCAAACCATAGGGACAGAGGAGAGATCACGGTTCTCCCAGACTGGGGTGGAGGGGGGAAGAAATGAGAGCCAGATGGTCTCATTTATGGATCTCCCACCAGCAACAGGACGCTTTGAGACCACATGCTGCTGTCCTTACGCCCGCACTCTTAAGCCCCAAATCTCTTTGAAGAGCATTGAGCAGCCTCTAGGGCTTCACCGCGCGTGCGTGACGTTAGGCAGGCCCTCAGCAGGGCCCTGCGATGCCCGGGCAGGCCTGCAGGCGGCGCTGGGGATCACCCAGGGACCCGCGCTTGCCAGCCGGCCGGAAATCCACCCACTAGCGGGCGGAGCTCCGGGCCGGGGGTTTTTCCTGCAGCAGCTCGGGGATTTGCGGGGCAGATGCCCGGACCCTGAACTCCCTCGGTCCTGCGGGGCGGAGATGGACAGTCACTCCTTCTAGGGGTGACTTTGGGCACCTTCCCCCGCCCCCAGGGGCATCGTGGTTTGGTTTGGATGGGTTTCCATACTTGGCTGTGGTGTTGCAGATTCTGGGGTTAGAAAGGCAGGTCTTGCCATTTTTTTAAAGTTCTGGCGCCTGGAAGGGCCAGCAGATCGTGAGAGCCAGGCGTGGGAGATGCCGGGAACCTAAAGCTCTGCTTCCTTCCTAGGCCCTGGCTGTGGCCTCTGTGAAATGGGCGCCTCCTCCACATGATGGTCGCTGTGATCCACTGGGGACGCAGCTGGGGCACGAAGGCACCTGGTCCCTGCCTCACCACGGACCTCCAAAGGAAAGGCCAGGATGGACAGATTCCTACAGAAGACAGCCCCAGGGGTCCTTTTGGGAAAAACAGCCAAGCAAAAGCCCACCAGAGAAGAGGCAGGAGAAGATGGAGGAATGGCAGAGAAGAGGCCCAGGAGAGAGACCCCCGGGGACACCAGCCACCAGGCAGGCCTGAGCTGGAGGCAGATTCGTGGGGAAGGTCTGAACTGTGATTACACCATCCTGTTTGGCAAAGCAGAGGCGGACAAGATTTTCCGCGAGTTGGAGCAAGATGTGGAGTATTTTACTGGTAAGGGGAAGGCTGCGTTGATCTTACGTTTGGAAAATCTGAACTCAGAGGATTTGTGAATTCCTGATGGATTTGGTGAAGGTCTTGGGCTATAAATCGGGGAATGGAAGGGAGCAGATGAAAAGCAGGATTGTCTGTCTACTGGTAGTCAATAGAAGACTAGGGGAAATCTGCCTGGTTGCTGCTAAGTCACTGAGGAAAGTTAAAACAGGCTGGGTTCCGTGTAAGGCCAATGGAATCAGAATCGTTAGGTGCACATCTGGATTTCAATATTAAAAAAGAAAAATCTAGGTCTGGGCATATGACTCAGTGGTGGAACACTTGCCTGATGCACACATCTGGGGTTAGATCCAGGCATAAAACAAGTTTTCATGGGATTGTCAGGTGCAGGTGAGGGCTAGAAGCCCTAGAGCAGGACGATGCCATACAAGCAGTAACTCCTTTATCTGAATGCTGAGTGGTTCTCAGTGCTGCCTGGGGGGGTGGGGTTGGGGGGAAGACCTTGTTGCTCCGGCAGAGATGGAATGCAGGTCCACTCCCACAGCCTAGTTTCTAGTTTCCAAGTGACAGGGATGCTGTGGGCCCCAGGACCACACATTGAGAGCCTGCTCACTACTGACTTCGCCCAGCCTGGGCTGTGTAACCTCACAGGTGACAAAATGAAACCTTGCTCAAAAATCTTGTGAAGAGTGTTTAGGAAACAGTGATCCATGTTTCTCTTAAGTATAAGGCAAGAGTCACTTTTTTTTTTTGGCCGGTCCTGGAGCTTGAACATAGAGCCTCTCTGTGCTCAAGGCTAGCACTCTACCACTTGAGCTACAGTGCCACTTCTGGCTTTTTCTGTTTATGCGTTACTGAGGACTTGAACCCAGGGCTTCATGCATGCAAGGCAAGCACTCTACTGCTAAGCCACATTCCCAGCCCACATTTTGCTTTTTGAGACTGAGTCTTTGTAGCCCAGGCAAGAGGCCAACTCTTGCTTCCTCAAGCTGGGGTTATAGGCATGCACTACCATACTCAGCAAGATTCACTAAGCTCCCATGGAAATTTGGGGCAAGTCACAGTGATGCTTGAGATGGGGTCAACCGCAGGCAGTGTACACCCTGGGGAGCCGGCGTGTCACTCTCTCGTCTGCATCTCAAGGGCTTTATGGGATGAGTGAACTGCCATGTTCCATCTGCACAGGTGCGCTGGCAAGGGTGCAGGTGTTTGGGAAATGGCATGATGTGCCGAGGAAGCAGGCGACCTATGGTGACGCTGGGCTGACCTACACGTTTTCAGGCCTTACGCTGTCTCCAAAGCCCTGGCTTCCAGTTCTGGAACGCATCCGGGATCGAGTCTCTGACGTGACAGGACAGACCTTCAACTTCGTGCTCGTCAACAGGTGACCCCTTGCCCTGACGCTTGGCCTGTGTTTTTTCTCTATGTGTCTTCTCCAAAGGGAAGTTTGTGGTCCTGTCATACTTGGTTCAAGTTGTTCTTTGGGCCAGGTTGTTTTGGACAGCGGTTCCTGGAAGGGGTCTGGGCTCAGTAGAAGCACTTGTGACAGTTGGGGCTGTAGAAGGGAAACGTGTGCCTCGTAGGGCATGGGACACATGCTCGGCTTCCACCCAGTAGATGCCAGGAGCGCCCGCCTCCACACAGACGCCTGGCATCTCCTGGCATCTTCCTGGCTACAAAGCCTAGGCCGAGACAAGGTCACTCTACAGGACGTTCCCTGAGGCTGTGACCTTTGACCTGGGAACTAAGTGGAGACCCCAAAGCCCACAGGCATCTGGAGAACTGGGGTCTCTGGGGTGTGGCTGAAAAGAGAGAGGGAGGAGTGGGGTACAGAGTGTACTTGGAGATAGGCAGGGCCAGACGGCCGAGAATGGGGGTTTTATTCTATGTGTAGGGAGCGATCGTTTTATATGGCAGGCTTACATGCAAGAGCTGGGGACTAGGAGACATGGTTGTGAGCCTGCACGCAGGACAGGTGGGCCTGGGTCAGAGGCGAGGCTGGCCTGAGGGCCCTGCCAGAAACATGGCGGGGGCAGCCTTCGGCACACTGCTTCCTGCAGCGGGGGGAGAGGCTCTTCTTCTATGCTGTCCTTGTTTCCCATCACAGGTATAAAGACGGCTGTGATCACATTGGAGAGCACCGAGACGATGAGAGGGAACTGGCCTCCAGGAGCCCCATTGCCTCCGTGTCCTTTGGTGCCTGCCGGGATTTCTTCTTCCGGCACAAGGCCTCCCGAGGGAAGCCTGGCGGCCGGCCGGGGGACACAGTCAGGCTGCAGCTGGCCCACGGGAGCTTGCTCATGATGAACCACCCGACCAACACTCACTGGTACCACAGTCTCCCCGTCCGCAAGAAGGTTCTGGCTCCACGGGTCAACTTGACATTTCGTAAAATTCTGCCTAAGAAATGAGAGATGTTTGTAACAGTTAGCACGACTGTCTCTTCCTTCTCTGTCTATTCTGAGTGAGCCTGAAGCAGAGGTAGCTTGGTGACTTTTTTTTTTTTTTTTTAGCCAGTCCTGGAGCTTGAACTCAGAGCCTGGGTGCTGTCCCTAAACTTTTGTGCTCAAGGCTAGCCCTCTACCATCTGGAGCCACAGCTCCACTTCCATTTGGTTAATTGCAGATAACAGTCTCACACTCTTCTGCCCTGGCTGCTTTGGAACCATGTTTCTCAGAACTCAGCCTCCTGAGTATCTAGGATTACAGGCGTGAGCTGCCAGCTCCCAGCTTGATGACATTTTAGGACTTGTCCTGTTATACAACAATGTACAGTGCTGAAAGATGGTGTTTAAATCAAACCCACAAATTATGAAAGAATGGCAGTTGGCTTCTTTTTCCCCTAACAAAATGATTTTTTTTATTGCTATAATACACAGCAGATACAAAAGTACCTTTAGCAAATACATAAATCAGCCGTCACCATGGCACAAACTACTAGCTCAACTTAGGTTTTTTCCAGAAAGAAGTGACTACGTACTTTATAAATAAAAATTAGAAAACAGATTATTTGGTGGCTAATGCCTACTAATTTACAAAAATGAGGAAGTTAGCTTTCAGGCAGATTATCGCTCACATTTACAACGCCGGCCCTCAGCCAGCCTCTGAGGGAAGGCCTGCTCCCAGCCGACAGCCCGGGCTTGTGCCCTCACACTCCCCCCCCCCCCAGCCCCCAAGCCTGAGGAGCAGGGATGGGGCAGCCCTCACGCTCAGTTACACTTTGCAGGGCCACCTGAGGCCACTCAGTGTCACGTGACACAGGTGTGTTCACTCCCACATCAAAGCCCAGGTGTGCAGGGCCGGCTGTGGACACATCAGGCGGTCCAACCTGCTCTCACACATGTCCAGGCCCGGTAAGCCTTCATGGTGACCTCTGTCACGGCAGAGTGCCATCAAGTCCTCAGGCTGCCCGTGGGCCTGCAGGATGCCCTGGCCTGCCTGCGCTTTGAGCTGATATGCCAAGGCTCGTGTGGAAGTGCTGGCCAGCTCAGTGGGGCCTTGGAGCCTGCGGGTGGCCTGGTTCCACAGCTCTGGAGAGTCTGCCTGAACCGGGTACTACTGTATCAACATTCCTTCCTCCCCGGGCTGCATTCCTGAGGCTTGTCTGAAAAGGAAAGAAGCAGCTCCATATACTCTCTGTATCAGGACGCTGGAACTGAGGGATGCATTTAGAATAAGGACCCAGAACCAAATGGCAGCACTAGGGGTCAACTGACACTTTATGGGCCTTTAAAACACCCTTTGCTTTACAGATGAGAAAACAGGTCCAGAGAGAGACTGAGGCCTGACAGCACCCTTCCTTCTCAATCAGCTCTCCAGCTGCCCCAGCTCCTTTTCTAGAGCCTCAGAGCTCCGCAAGGGCCATGGGTGAAGCTTAAACTACTGCTGCTTAATTTTGCCACGTGTAGTTGTAGGTGTTACACAGACGCTGAGACACTGCGTGAGGCTGGCTAACATAAGTTTTATAATAAATTACCATCCAGTCTCCCAGCCCAGTGTATGAAGGGGAAAAAGCCAACACATAAGCATCTGCCAGTGAACTGCCAACAGTGAACAACGCCCGCTGGCTCCGGGGGCCAATCTGCAGATGAGTTCCAGCTATGAATGCAGCTGCAGCATGGAAAAGCTGGGGAGAGGGCACATGGGTGCCTAGAGGACACGTCTACTCACAAGGGACAGGCTGCAGAAGCAATCGAAAGTGGAAGGCACTTTTTCTTCTAAATGGTTGCCTTTAATAATTTTGCTATTTCTTGTCAACAATTTGTATGGGTCTACTTATTAAAAATACGGTATCTATGCTGACAGCCAGGGGTGACACAGAGGCAACTCTTTCTCTGTGGACACCTGCAGGTTACAATATAGAAAAGGTGGCTTCCGGAATCCAGGTTCTTCATTTACCTGTATCGGATGAGTAAAAGACACGCTGTACGCACGCACGCAGGCAGGCACGCTGTCCTAACCCAGGGACACTCTCAGTGTGCCCGGGTGGAGCTGCTCGGGGCTGGCTCCCACGTGGCACTGCCCTTCCAATACACAGAAAGCTGAAGGTCTAAGAGGGGCCGGGTGCACACACACACACACGAGAGCGTGCGCGTGGCCACACACGGCACGCCTTTACTTTTGTCCTGCACAGTGTGGACCGTGCCCTGGGCCCTGGCTCAGGGCTGGGGACGTCACTCCTCAGACCTGAACTCCTGCCCCTGCTGTTGCATCCGGGATAGGACGCGCTCGTAGAACAGCAGGTAGGCGCTGGAGGACAGGACCTCCTGCAGGCTGGCCTTGCGGACAGTGTCGTCGGAAATCCACAGCCACTGGTTGCTGGTGGAAAGTGGATTCTTGGCTGAAGGTGGAGACCGGCGGTAGGTGACAAAGTGTCCAGAGTGCATGTCTCCATGGTGGACGACGACCGCCATCAGCCGGAAGAGGTAAGTGGAGGAGCTGAAGGGCGGGAACAAATGCCAGGGGTTGGTGAACACAAGGCCTTGCAGACAAAATGAACCCATCCCACACGGCACACCAAGGGACCAGCGAGAGACACAACCACATCCCGCCCTTCCACAAGCATGTGTGTGCGTGCATGGGGTATATCTGTACACACATTGTTACCCAGGAGATGGCTGAAGATGTGATTGCTTAAGTGGTATCCCAAAAAACAACTATTTCTTTGTATTGTATAGGTACGCATGTGTATATATGCATGTCAATAGATTTTTGCTAATTCTGATTGTTCAAGTTACCTTCATCTTGGGCAACGTCATAAATAACTGTCTACATTCGTTGGTGTGCTTTGGGGAAAAGCTGCTTGTAGGCAGCGTCCTGACTGCCTGGCTCACCTGTAATCAGGAACCACCGGGAGAGGGAAGGGCACTGGGGGTGGCAGGGCTGGCAGTAAAGACGGGGAACAGGCGCCATTCATAAAAATCTGGGTTTTGGGAGCCCCTGGCTGATTCAGAACTGCAAGAGAAAAAGACCTGAATCAGTGAAAATTAGCAGTGGCTCTGGGGGAACAAACACCTGGGGTAAATTTTGTGTGGTTTCTTTTGTGCCAGGCCTGGAGCTTGAACTTGGGGTCTGGGTGCTGTCTCTGAGTTTTTTGCTCCAGGCTAGGGTTTTGCCACTTGAGCCACAGCCCCACTTCCAGCTTTTTTGGTGGGTAATTGGAAGTCAGTCTCCTGGCCTTTCCTGTCTGGGAAGGCTTCAAATCACAATCCTCAGATCTCAGCCTCCTGAGTAGCTACAGATGTAAGCCCTCAGTGCCCAGCCAAACACATGGTTTTGATTTCCTTAAAAATGACGGTCTGGGAAGGTGGCTCAATGGTAGAGCACTTGCCTTGCATGCCTGAGGCCCTGGGTTCAATTCCTTAGTACCACATAAGCAAAAAAAAAAAAAAAAAAAAGCCAGAAGTGGCGCTGTGGCTCAGGTGGTAGAGCGCTCAGAGTTCGGGCCCCACGGCCGGATCCCCCCCCACCAAAAAAAAAAGAGTCTCATGATTTCCTTGAAAATGATCTCTCTATAAGGCTGTAGAGAAAAGACTACATTTTGGAGTAAGTTGGTTACCAAAATTCCCTTTTTGTCCCAACTATTTTAATTGCAAACAGGAGAAAAGCATGGGGCCCCCTCCCTGCTGCTGCCCTGACGTCCCCACTGTGCCCCAGACACTTGCTGGCCAGCGACTCAGCAGGGGCAAGCAGCCCCTTAACTGGCTTCATGGGGGGACTGTGTATCTAGAGTGTCCTGCAGCACCCCTAGAGAGTATCTGCCTCCCCCATGCATGCCAAGTAGCACTACTTTCCCAGGAGACAACCAACACTGAACATTCCCAGCACTCTTCACTGCTCCAAGCCGAGAAGCACTGCCATCTCTGGAATTCTGTCATCTTTCTAAGGAATACTAATGTTAACAACAAGCAAACCTTTAGGACTGTAGACAAAACAAAAGGCAAGCCAAGCATGGTGGTGCATGCCTGTAATCCCAGCACTCAGGAAGATAAAAGCAGGAAGATCAATGAGATCTTGGGCTACACAATGAGCTCCAGGCCATCTTAAGTTACACAGTGAGAACCTAAAAACCACAGGTTGGAGACATAGCTTTGTGGTAGAGCATTTGGCTAGCCTGGCCAAGGCCCCACATCATAAGAAAAATATTTTAAAAATCAAGGTGACATCCACGTACTCTTCCTTTCCGTTTTCACACCTGGGGCCTCATAAACCAAGTAATCACTGTGACTAACTTTGCCCACAGCCACTGAGTTCTGACCATTAGCAGATCTGTACCCAAGCCTGGGAGAGGAGGAAATTATGGTGAAAGGGTCTTTGGTTTAAAATAAGAGCCAAGGGCTAACTCCCCTCCTCATCCCATGCCTGCCCACCTCAGCTGTCCCCACAGTAGCCTAAGGACGTGATGAGAAAGAGCAAATGAAGTCTCCCTGAAAAGCTGTCTGGCCAGGCCACGCCCTTGGAGGGGCATGACACCACAAGGGGCCAGGGACGCCGTGTCAGCAAAGGAGCGGGCGCAGGAAGACAGTCCTGACGCTCCCCGCAAGGCAGCAGGTTTTCCTCATCTACAGTTCTGAAGGGCAGTGTATAGCAGACACTAGCTTTAAAACATCACAATCTAGGCCAGATCTTCCATTTGTCAAGTCTTGCTTGTTCCCTGTGTGGAAATCAATTTCTCATCAGTAGACCCAGGGAGGACAGGACTGAGACCCCACTTACCAACGAAACCCAGGTGAGGGTGGCAACAGAATGGGACAGAGCAGCGATTCAGTAAAGAAGCCATTTCACAGTCAGGTGCTGGTGGCTCACACCTGTAATCTCAGTGACTCAGGAGGTGCAAATCAGAGGATCCAGGTTTGAAACCAACCTGGGCAAAAATATCTCCAAGACTCCATCTCCAATTAACCAGCAAAAAGCCAGAGTGGAGGCTCAGCTCAAGAATGCAAGCAAGCAGAGTAAGAATGCTAAAGCCTGAGTTCAAGTCACGGTATCAGCACGCACGCGCATGCACACACGCACGCACGCACACACACACACACACACACACAACCAATAAAGCCATGTCAACTCAGTAAGATGTTCAGTGGTCATTAGCCAGGCCCTTTCCTCCCCATATTTCTTCTATAAGAGGGATGATGAGAGAAAGAAAAAAGTTCCCTGGAATGATGTGAAGCAATTTTTGCTTTTCTCCATACAGTGTTCCATCTATACTGCAGTTTTTAAAATATGTCTCTCATGACTATATAATTTTAACCTCTTCAAGAAATCATTGTTAAACTGACACCAGTGGTTCACAGCTGTAATCCTAGCAACTCAGGAGCCTGAGATCTGAGGCCCAAAGTTCAAAGCTAGCCTGGGCAGGAAAGTCCATGAGACTTTTTATCTCTAATTTTAACTACCAAAAAGCCAGAAGTGGAGCTGTGGCTCAAGTGGCAGAGTGCCAGGCTTGAGCAAGAAGAATAGGAGGGCCAGGCACCAGTAGCTCACGCCTGTAATCCTAGCTACTCAGGAGGCTGAAATCTGAGGATCTCGGTTCAAAGCCAGCCTGGGCAGGAAAGTCCGTGAGACTCTTATCTCCAATAAACCACTAGAAAACTGGAAGTGGCGCTCTGGCTTAAGTGGTAGAACACTAACCTTGAGCTGAAGAGCGTGGAGACAGCGCCCAAGCCCAGAGTTCAAGCCCCATGATCGACCAAAAAAAAAAACAAGAATTAGGAGGAAGGAGAAGAGAAGAGAAGGAAGAGGAGGAGGAAGAGGAAGAAGAGGAGGGGGAAGGAGAGAGGAGGAGGAAGAGGAGGAGAAGAGGAGGAGGAAGGAAAGAGGAGGGGGAAGGAGAGAGGAGGAGGAAGAGGAGGAGAAGAGGAGGAGGAAGGAGAGAGGAGGGGGAAGGAGAGAGGAGGAGGAAGAAGAGGAAGCAGCAGCTCAGGGACAGCACCCAGGTCCTGAGTTCAAGCCTTAGGGCTGGCACCAAAAAAAAAAGAAATCATATTTGGGGAGGCAGCTCTATAGTAAACCTGCCCTACTCAAGAATTCAAGCTGCCACTTCAAGTAGCCTTTCTGAACTCCAGGCGATACACTGCTCGTGGCATAAAGACCCGGGTTTGTCTGTGCCAGACGCCTGCTCTCTGCTGAGGCATCAGCCAGCCAGCGGGCAGCACCTGGCTTGGGGGCTGCCAGCCCATCCTGCAGTTCCAACGCAGGCCCTGGGTTCTCCTTGGGTTTGGGGCTGTGCAGACTGGGTTTGTGGCCCAGGAGGCGGTACTTGTAGATGTCCATCATCAGGAACTCATTGAACTGCACGTGCTCATGGCGCTTGAGGGGCGTGCCGTGGCTGGACCAGCTGAGCCGCTGCAGATGGATGCACAGGCACTGGGGGAGCTGCGGGTGAGGGGGGAACAGAAAGAGCTGAGAACAGGCAGCAGTCCCTCGGACAGGCCCATCAAGTGGGGGGGGGGGTCAGCTCACCTTCCCTAGTTTTAACTGTTTAACAAATGTGGTCCTCTGGTGTTCCACCTTTTCCCCATTCAAGGTTCCTTTTGCTTCGATCTGAAATACAAGCAACAGCATTTCTCCACAAGAATCCCTGGAGCAGGGCGTCTAGGGGCGTTGCCGGAGCTGGCGGAGGTTACACCTGCATTCGACTGGCACTCAGCCATTACCTACTAAAGCCAACTCTACCTGCTGAAACCAACCCCTTGTTTGTGAGCTGTTTTCACTGATTCTCCCTGGTTGTCAAATAACAGTCACCATGGAGGGAGGAGACAGCAAAATCAACACTGGAACTCTACCAGCGTGTAATCTATTTTGTTTTCTGTCTTCAAAAATTCTGTCTTGCTGGGTGCTGGTGGCTCACGCCTATAATCCAAGCTACTCAGGAGGCTGAGATCTGAGGTTTACGGTTCAAAGCCAGCCCGGGCAGGAAAGTCTGTGAGACTCTTATCTCCAATGAACCACCAGAAAACTGGAAGTGGTGCTGTGGCTCCAGTGGTAGAGCGCTCGCCTTGAGCTGAGGAACTGAGGGACAGCACCCAGGCCCAGAGTTCAAGCTCCAAGACTGACAAAAAAAAAAATTCTGTCCTCCTGGTTCCTCTGGATTGAGAGAGAGAGTGTCAGTTACGGAGGGGGAAGCGGAGGTGAGGGAGATGGGAATGGTGGGGACTGGAGCAGATTGGAGAGGGCGGATCTCAACTCCAGGCTGCACGTGAAAGCCTTTCCTTTACACAAAAACCTAGGAAGCAAGACTCCTCAGATAGCCACTTGCCAAGCCACGCCGGGGGGGGGGAGATGGCGGTGGCTGAGCAGGCCCGCTGGGTAATGTGGGCGGTGCCACAGAGTGCAGATCAGCGAGGGGACGCACCTTTGTGCAGTTGTCGCACACAACATCGCGCACGGACTCGGAGGAGATGAAGTGGTGAAGGCAGTGGTCCAGGGTCAGCGGATGACCCTGAAAGAGGAGAGGGAAAAAGAAAATCCGAACAACGCAGGGACAGCTGCGTGGACAGCATCAGCCAGGGCAGGGGGCACCACATACCACAAAGGCACCCACGCTGCCACTACTGACGGGCTCCAGGTTCAAAGGCTCCACGTCAAAAACCATCATGGACTTTTACACTGAGTTTGAGCTTGAGAATGTGTTATGTGCATGTGTTGAAAAACGTGTGCAATAAGAGAAAAATGACCCACCCGTAATCAGGCATGGTGCCACAGATGATGGGTAAGACAGGGCCCCAACCACTGTCTGAAAGACCCAGTCCCTGGGGCACACAAAATGCTTCCAGGTTCTCTCAGACTGCTCTGTGTTCACAGTAGACTCTAAAATAAGCCCAAGGTCAGTACGTACCCAGGTGGCAGCTGGAATGCTCAGTGAAAGGCTATCAAAGGTGTCAAAGCGAACAGGACTCTGAAAGACAAAGTCCAGAAAGCACTTATATTCAACACAACATATGGAAGATGTGTCCACGAGAATTACCAGTAAAATGTAAGGGGCTGGGAAGGTGGCTTAGTGGTAGAGTGCTCACCTAGCATGCATGAAGCCCTAGGTTTGATTTCTCAGTACCACATAAACAGAAAAAGCCAGAAGTGGTGCTGTGGCTGAAGTGGTAGAGTGCTAGCCTTGAGCAAAAGAAGCTCAAGGACAGTGCCCGGGCTCCAGGAGGGGCAAAAACAACATCAAAACAAACAAACAATATGCCATAAGGTAGTTAGAAGCAAATTCTAGCCAAACAACTTTGGGAACTTAGAGTTATGAAGAAAATCCTGATGAGCAGGATTGGAGTTTTGATCCTGTGGATATAATCAGAAACAAAACTACAAAGACGTCATCTTCACAGCATTATTCTGAAGAGCTGAAACACCTTGAGAATGAATGATAAACCACATTATAGCATGCCCCCAGAATGAACTAGGATAATCAAGTTAATATAGTAGGAAGCTGATTATGTATCAATATGTTCATCTTGTATCACTAATTACCAAAATGCAGATGAAAAAAATACAGTCAGCATTGTTGCTTTTGGTAATGGAAAAGCAGTTTAGGTTTCCCCTGTCTCAAGGTCTGAAACGAAACAACACTATTTGAATGACTAGAGCTGCCAAAAGCAGGTAAAAGTTGAAGTCAATTCAGATGAAAACAAAATCAAAACCCGGGGACTCCATGGGTAAGACTTGCCTGGCATTTCTGCCCACTCTCCACAAAGACGGGTGGCCTAAAGCAGCCCTTGCACAGGACTGAGTTGCTAGAACTGAGAGTCGAGGGCTAGTAGAGACTCAAGGCAATCCCCAAGGTAACAAGGGGGGTGGGGGGAGGACAAGCTCCCAAATCTGTTTAGACTGTTCAGCTTCAGGGCTGACAACAGGACTGCGCATGCTCAGGGAAGACTCCGTGGAGGGCTGTAAGGTAGCAGATGGAAGGTACAACTGAAGGGACATTCTGTTGTCCAAGAAAGGGGAGATAGGGTTTGGAATTTGAGCCCAGGCAAGTTAACTGGCTTCCAGCACAAAGCCTATTTTCCTTCAGAGAAATCCAATGTGGCACACGGTGAAGGACAAGGAGGTAAGAGACTACACGAGATCTGCTCAAGGACTGAAGGGAAACATAAATTACACAGTACATGGACAAATGGAGAATCTCAGCAGAGAAATTATTAAAAAGAAAGAAAAAGTAAAAAAAATAGAAAGAAATGGACTTGGGAGATGGAGATCATGAGGATCATGGTTTAAGGCCAGACTTTGGCAAAAACTACAGGACATCCCATTTGAACTCATAAAGGCTGGGCAGGACAGCAGGTATTTGTGACTCCAGGAATACAGGAAGCAAAAATAGGAGGACCGCTGTCCAGGCTGATTTGGGTATAAAAGTGAGACCCTATTACAACTTTAACTAAAGTGAAAAGGTTGACACTGAGGCACAAGGTCCTGAGTTTAAACCTCAGGACCACCAATAAATAACAGAAACTTCATAAAAGCATAGTCACTAAAAGGAGATTGGAGACAGAAAAAGAGCCAGTGAAATTGAAGGTGGGTCCATGAAATGACCAAAGTCTAGGAACAAAGGAGAATGAACTACAAGAGATGCACCAGCCCCTAGTGACCTAAGACAAAGGAGACCTCGTGAGGAGATGGGTGTGTTCATTTGCATATATATGCATACATAAGCATACATTAAATCATTACTCTGCACACCTTAAATATATGCATCTTCTGTCAGTCACTTATACCTCAATAAAGAAGAGAAAAAAGCAATAATGAAGCTAAGTGCTGGTGGCTCAAAGCTGTAATCCTAGCTGCTCAGGAGGCTGAGATCTGAGGATCATGGTTCAAAGCTAACATAGACAAGAAAAATCCGTGAGACTCTTATCTCCAATTAACCATCAGAAAACTGGAAGTGGTGCTGTGGCTCAAAGTGGTACATCTCTAGCCTTGAGCAAAAGAAGTCGGGGAGGGCTGGGAAGGTGGCTCGGTGATAGAGTGCTTGCCTTGCCTGCATGAGGCCCTGGGTTCGATTCCTCAGTACCACATAAGCAAAAAAAGCTGGAAGTGGCACTGTGGCTCAAGTGATAGAGTGTTAGCCTTGAGCTGAAGAGCTGAGGGTCTACAGAGCCCAGGCCCAGAGTTCAGGCCCCACGACTGACAAAAAAAAAAACCCTCAGGGACTGTGCACAGGCCCTTAGTTCAAGCCCCAGGACTGACACAAAAACCAACCAAAACAATAACAACAAAAAACAACCTTGTACCAAAGTGGAAACAGTGTTGATGTTTTCCTTAGATGATGGGCAATATTTAATATTATATTTAATATTAATATTTAAATATTAATATTTAATATTACCCCTGGGTCACCTTCTGCTGTCACTGCTTCTATATAGAGTGAAGAGCTGTGCAGGCTGCCACACACAGGAACCAGAAAACCTTACACTAATCCAGAGAAGCCAACACAAAAGGCTGCACGCAGTAGGATTCCACTATAGGAAAAGTCCAGGTCAGGAAAGTCCACTGAGGTCTAAGCACAAGAGTGGCTGCCCAGACCTGGGGACTAGGGAATAGGGATATGGCAGACGTACGTGGGGGTTTGCTGCTTGTGGAGAGCCGGGGGGACATGTTCTAAAATTGATTCAAGTGACATTCCAAAATTTCTGTAACATTATTTGTGTTAAAATTTTTCCATAGTACATTATTTTAGCAGTGTGATGCTGCACATCTATAACCCAGCACTTACTTAAGGAGGCTGAGGCAGGATTTGAGTTCAGGCCAGACTAGTCTACACAGCAGGATCTTATCTCAAAAATGTTAAAGAGCCAGGTGCTGGTGGCTCACACCTGTAATTCTAACTATTCACAAGGATGAGAGCTGAGGATCATGGTTCAAAGCCAAAGGATCATGGTTGAATCCGGACCAGGCAGAAAAGTCCATGAGACTCCTATTAACCACCAAAAGCCAGAAGTGGAGCTATGGCTCAAGTGGTCACAGCAGAAAAATTCAGAGCTAGCATCCAAGCCTTAAGTTTAAGCCCCAAGATTGGTGAACATGCATGTGCATATACATGCACACACACACACAATTTTTTTTTTTTTGCCAATCCTGGGGCTTGAACTCAGGACCTGGACTCTGTCCCTGAGCTTCTTTTGCTCAAGTCTAGCACTCTACCACTTGAGCCACAGTGCCACTTCTGGCTTTTTCTGTTTATATGGTACTGTGGATTTGAACCCAGAGCTTCAACACTCTACCACTAAGCTACATTTCCAGCCCACATTTTTTAATTGCTTTATTTTTGCTGGTACTAGGGCTACAACTGAGGGGCTCATGCTGTCTCACAGCCGGCATTCTACCATTTGAGCCATACCTCTAGCCTGGTTACCTACATTTTTGCGGATTAATTGGTGATGGAATCTCATGAACTTTTCAATGTAGGCTGGCCTTGAAGAGAGATCCTCTGGATCTCAGCCTCCTGAGTAGCTAGGATTACAAGCATGAGCCACCAGCCCCCAAACCAAACAAAAAAAAATTTATTTAAAAACATCAAAAACACATTTTAAAAAATCCCAGTCCCTAGGTTGAGTATAAACTCAACTTTAACTCAAAAGCCTGCCCCTTGCTCCTGGGGCGAAAGGGCGCTCTCAGGTGCCCGGGACATGACGGCACTGACCAAAGGGGCAGACAGTCCACCAGGGGTGCGGGCCCGGGCCATCACGGAGGTCAGCGTGCACTTGCAAGTCCTGCCCCGAGTCCTGACTCACAAAGCGCAGGCGGCCTAGCTGGGGTGCTCTTACCTGGTGCTCACAGTGTTTGCAGACCATGTTGCTAGTGAGTCTACCGTGAAAAGGATGCTGGGATTTCCAGTGACTGGACGTGGGCTGAGGGGACCCTGGAAGGCAAAGTGCTCATAAGATGCCATGTTTAGATGTTTCGCCCCGACCTCAAAAGCTAAGCCTCCGTTCCAGGATTTAGTAGGTCTTCATCCTTAGACAAAGCACACTGGAGGAGCTCTCACTGGCGACCCCCAGACTCCCGCTCCCTCGTGGGAGAATTCCAGGACTTGCACATGGCTTCTGTAGAATGGGAGGCGCCCCATGGAGGGTGCCATGAGGGAACCTGCTGGCCTCTGAAACAAGGTCTGAAGAACTGGGATTGTCTGCTTCCTCCAGAGCAGGGCAGCGCTGGGGCCAGTACCCCACAGTGCCAATGTCACCGAGGACGGTGAGGCTTCCATGCAATGCCTGACACCCAGTATGGCCTCTCAAACTCTTCCTTATTACTACTGCTGCTCAAAGGGACCAGGTGCCAAATTGTACTGTACTAAGGCTTCAGTGAACAAGGACTTGTGCCCAGTGAGAGCTGTGATTGACAATAAAAGCGGGTCAAGGTGGAAATGCTGAGGACAAGGCTGACTCAGCCCATACAGTTCCTTCTGGGTGGCGAAACCCAAGGAGGTGGAAAGAAAATCCTCGTCTGGGGGCTGGGAAGGTGGCTCAGTGGTAGAGCGCTTGCCTTGCATGCCTGAGGCCCTGGGTTCGATTCCTCAGCACCACATAAGCAAAAAAAAAAAGAAAATCCTCGTCTGCAGTACATGAAGTCTAAGCAAAGAAACCTGGGCAGGGCTGGGTGGCAGGAACATGGACAAAGCCATTGGCAGGTGTTTGCAAAAACACAAGCTCCTTTTGCAGGAACATCACAGTTTAAGCTAGTTAGAGTCTCTCCAAAAAGCAGAACAAAACAATTAACAAAGCACACACCTCCAAACCAAGACCTTTTTTTGTTGTTGGTGGTAGTGGTCATGGGGCTGAAACTCAGGGCCTGGGCGCTAGCCTTGAGCTTTGGCTAGTGCACTACCACTTAAGAGCCACAGTGCCACTTCCAGTTTTCTGGTGGTTAATTGGAGATAACTGTCTCACAGACTTTCCTATCCGGGTTGGCTTTGAACTGTGATCCTCAGATCTCAGCCTCTGAGCTGCCAGAACTACAGGCCTGAGCCACCAGTGCCAGCCACCAGTGCCAGGCAAGATCTTCTTAAAACAAGCAAATTATTGACATATGTAAAAAATACCCGAGCAAGTACCTCTTGTGCGGCAGGTTATTTGTTTTGGAATTCCTTCTGATTGCTGCAGGAATAAAGACAGACAGACTGAAAACTGCTGCTTTCCTTTCTCCCACCTTCACCACCCAAAACCTCTGAACTCCTAGGCTGACGGCATCCCTCAAAATCCACTTCCAACAAAGTCTGAATTCCTCAAAATAGCCTTATGTATCCTCTCCAGCTAGTATCTGTATTCCTTTCTGGAATTTAATTAAACTGCCTCCTGTCTCTGCTCTTTTCCTCCCTTTCTGGTTAGCTGTTATCAACTCCTTGAATATGGTATTGTCCCAGGAGGAGAGGACTAACTCGGCAATTCTACACCCTATGGTAAGCAGGAGAAAGGAAAACACTGGTTCTGTCAAAGCCAATATAAAGGTAGCTGAGAGTCACACTTAAGAGCTAACATCGCCGGCCAGGTATGCCATATACAACCACACAGCTTCATTTCCCCCCTGGATTTCTGGTGAGCCTCACACTTGTGGTTAAGAGCCGTACAAGGGGACGCCTGTGCTGCCTGCACTCACCACACACACACACACGTGCATACACACATTCATGCATGGACTGGTGTGCTGGAAATATGAATGGTTTACCTCCAGGGAGTGGACATCAAACAAATGTGTGACCCGTGGCTGGCGGTCTCGCTCATCTTCCAGTGAAGAGGTGATGACGTGGAATAACTCGTGAGCATCCTGTGAATGGAAGGCTGGCTGACGCAGGCGCAGAGAGGACTCCCTCGCCCTCTGAGGCAGAGCTCTGACAGTTAACCAGGGCAGGATTTGTGTCCCTCATTGAATAAGACACTTCCACAAGACACCTCCGTCCTCAACCCATGGAGGATGAGGGGCTGCGTCACGCCACAGACTGAGCCTGTGTCAGCTTTACTGAGATGGCGCTGACCTTTACACCCTCCACTCACCCCACTCCGAAGGAACACTCCCCCTCAAAACCGTGGCAAAGCACATCAACAGCAAGGCCACCTGCTCAGTCTTTTTAAGCGTCTAGCTGAAAGGTCTTACCTCCATTATATCACCATCACCCACTTTTGGCTTTTTCTGTGTATGTGGTACTGGGGGACTGACCAGGGCTTCATGCATGCTAGGCAAGCACTCTACCACTGAGCCACCTTCTTAGTCCCCACCCTTTCTTCTTTCTTAAAGGCTGTACAACATGGAATTCTAGAAGAGCCTGGGCTGGCAGTGTAGCTCAGCTGAGCGGCAGTTCTAGCCCCAACAGCAACACCACTGTTGATCTATTGGTGCATTGATGGACACTGCTATGGCTTTTGTGAATGGTCCTGCTCAGAACACAATCCTGCTCAGGACAATTACCTGTTTCAGTCCTTTGGTGTGCACACACCCAGAAGTGGGATTGCTGGACCATGTGACAAGGAGACACCTCTGTAAGGACCAACTCAGATGAGGCTCGTCAAAAAAGCCTCAGTCCTGCCTGCTGCTCTCCTGCTGCTCTCCCTCAGCCTTAGCCATGCCCGCTGCTCTCCCTCGGCCTCAGCTGTGCACGCAGCTCTCCCTCGGCCTCAGCCATGCTTCTGCTCTCCCGCTGCTTCCCAAGCTTTCAGAACTCAACCTCAAGCGTGGTCTTGTCCCACATGGTGATCTTTTAAACTACACTGGATCAAAGGCCAGCAGTGATCTGACTCTACCCTTAAACATTTTCCTGTTATCTAGTACCAGCAGGGGAAAAAAACAATATCACCCAAACCTCTTGGCTCTCTAGGATGAAGTCTTTGCCTATTTCTAAAGGACCCAGGGATCTCTAAGAGCCTCTGAATGACTAGTCAGCCAAGATCTGAAAAGACCTTTACTGTGTATGCCTCATCCACTGGGCGACTCACCGCTGTGTGACCTCCTCCATGACAGGAAGGCAGAAGTCGATGCTCTGGTTCCAGAGCACTTGATGCTGAAAGCTGGGGATGTCGCTCGATGGCAGAGCACCTGCCTACCACGTTCTAGACCTGGGCTCAGAGCTGGCACACAGGCCCAAAAATGTTACAGAAATGTATGCTCGGGCCAGACAGTCATAAGGTCTGGATCCCAGTCAGGGCAGGAAAGGATTCTCCAAGTTCAACCTGCTGCCTGCTGGGCTCACCTGTTCTTCAAAGGATGAGATCTGCCACCTGTACATTCTTAAGACATCCAGCAAGCAGCTTGCATCTAAGACCTCATCCTCAGTGACTTCCTGGCAGGACAAAGCTGGACACAGAAAGGACAAGACAATTACTTAAAGTCACCCGCAGAACTGACCAGAGCCCCCGTGTGGCACACCCTCTTCTGTTTTGATTAGCTGTAAAGTTCACTGCGGAGTTCCATCTCCTTCAGCATTCTTGGTAGCCTGGGGCAACACTTGGTAGGCCATTCAGCATCAAATGTTTGCTGAATGAACCTCATCTTCCATGAGACTGTAGCATGCAAATGAAGTAACTGATTTCTGGATCTTCAAACTGCCATCAATACAAATGTACTGCTTGCAGATGCCTGTTGAGTTGAATGATCTGAACTCACAATCCTCAGGGTCAGAGGGCCTCCTATCTCATTAGTCCAGCTCAGTGCCTAACTCAGCCCCCAGTTCCCTCCCATGGCTAACTCAGTCTTTGCTTGTATTTTCATCTTTATGATGCCAGTACAGGGTGTTAGCTGTGTGGGGCAGCCAGCAGGGTTGCTGAATGCTTTACTTTTCAATCAAAAAGTAGAAACAAATCTAATGAACAAAAAATAAAGTAAAAGTTTGACCAGCATGGTGGTATGCACCTGTAGTGCCAACTCCTAGGAAGGGGAAGGAGGAAGAATCATTTGAGTCATTAGTCTGGAGAATTCTTAGTCTATAAATGAATTAATGAATGATACAAAAGAGGGAGCTTGGTAGGCTTATAAGTTGATGATCACATCTAGATCAGGGGTTAGTCTTATAACTAATTGTATGTGTTAATGGGCTATATGTGTCTATACAACTACTCAACTCAGTGGCTCTAGTACAAAACAGCCATAGATAACACAGAAGCAATGGAGTGTTGCTATGCCCTGATAAAAACTTCTTTTTTTTTGTCAGTCATGGGGCTTGAACTCAGAGCCTGGGTGTTGTCCCTAAGCTTTTCACTCAAGGTTAGCACTCTACCATTTTGAGCCATAGCACCACTTCTAGTTCATTGTAAATTACAGTCTCACAGACTTTCCTGGCTTTGAACCACGATCCTCAGATCTCAGCATCCTGAGTAGTGGGGATTACAGGTGTGAGCCACTGGTGCCCAGCTCTGATAAAACTTTGTGAGTGAAAACAAGGGCCCTACATATGGCCCACAGGGTGCAGCGTGTGGGCTCCTGATGCTAATCACATACTCCGCTACTGGTATGTTGGGAGATAAAGAAGCAGGGCCTGCCCTCTCAGTAGCTTCTGTAAGCTCAATGACTCCCCACACAAACTGCCTCCCCAGGCTTTGATTTACAGTCAGTGGACAGGAGAGAGTCCTTTATATACTTCAGATGCAATCTGCCCAATCTATCTCCATCCTCAGCCCTGAGTGTGGCCATGTGGGCAGCTGGTGCTAGGAAAGCCTGAATGAAGCGTGGCACATGAAGGCAGGCAGGTCAGGGCTGGCCCTTTACCCTTCAGGACCAAGGGAGCAGAACTGAGAAAGGAACTGCACTTCCCTTTCTCCAGCCGCTCTCTTTCAGCAGTACTTCCATTTGCTTCTTTCATCCAAGAAGTCCAATGTCTCCCTTAACCTAATTTTGACTCACAGGCTATGGGGCAACATGGCAATGTCTGCTAACCATTTTTTACCCACAATACAGCAACTGGCTTTTTCAGGATCTGCTAAAGAAATGTGCTTATGGGCACGAGCAGCTGTGAGTAAAAGAAGCTCACCACAGCCTCTTTGTGAGGATGCAGAAAACTAAGCAGATGCCATACAGCTACAAAAGTGAATGAAGGGCAGGCGCTGGTGGCTCACACCTGTAATCCTAGCAACTCAAGAGGCTAAGATCTGAGGATTGTGGTTCAAAACCAGACTGAACAGAAAAGTTCATGAGACTCTTCCCTCCAATGAACCACTAAAAAGCTGGAAGTGAAGTCATGGCTAGCCTTGAGCAAACAACAACAACAAAAGAAAAAACCCACAAACCTTTTTATCTACTGGTGTCTCAGTGTTTTTCCATGATGACCCATCTGATCCTTCCTACAATCAAGCCATTCACCCTTTTCGTCACCTGCCACCCGGGCTTCTGTGACCATGCCTATGGTCCCATTCGAGCCCCCCTGTACCTTTGAGGAGGTGCAGCAGTGTTAGGGACAGGTACTGGTGTGGCGGGGGCTCCTTCTGGTCCTTGCTGTACTGGGTGGTGAAGTCTTCCAGCCACTTGATGAACGCGGGGCAGGCGGAGAGGCCCTGCAGCAGCGAGTTCATGAAGCAGGTGTTCCCTAAGTTTACCAGGCCAGGCACGAGCCCTGAAAAAAAATGCAGATGGGGAGGACAGCACATGGCCATGGAGCAACTTCCTCTTCTCTCCTATTTGGTACCCAAGGTTCTGCAGCATGATCTTAAATCTGGAATTCTGAGTAGATCCTTTGCCACAGAGATCTGGGTCAGGCATTCTGCCTGGGCCAACCTGGGTCCTGATACTCCTTCAGATTTTAAGTCTCAGCTATGTGTTCACTCTGAAGCCCATGGGGTATCTGGCACAGATTGGCTTATCATTAACCATCTGAAAAAAGTAAACCAGATCTTCTCTCTTTCCCTCCCTCATTCTCCCACTGTCTCCTCTTCAGTGACAGCCATGTTTCTCAGAACACAAAACAATTGCTCTGTTGTGGGTCCAAGAACAATGACTTTGTTCTTTCAGGAGAACAAGAGGAAGGCAAAACTCCACCAATTCTGACCCATTGCTCTGCTGTGAGCAACAGAATCTGCTACCATTCCCTCTTTGGCTGAGAAAAAAAAAACAACTTGTAATATCAAAGCTTTCCAACATGCATGAGAATTTATAGTGAATCTCATTATAACCTCCCTCAAATTGAACCGTGATCGAATTTGGCTACCTCTATCCCTTCTTTTTTTTCTTTTCCATCCCTTTCGTTCTTCTTTCTTTCTTCAACTGAATTTGAGTCAATGTTAAGTAGAGTAGTATTTACAACACAGGACATTTAAAAAAAATTAGGGAATTGATTTTTTTTTAATGAATGAAGAAACTAACTTGATTTTTACTGGCTAGCTGCTAGCAGGGACTCAGAGAAACCACAAATGCATGACATAATTAGTCAGCTGCACTACTGAAAACACACTTGCCATCTGAATGAGAACAATTAAGCCACTTGAAATATGTCATTACAACACATTCCCTAAACCCAAGTCTGGAAAAAGGCTAGAATAGATGTCCTTTTACTACAGGGTAGAAAAATCACGAGACCATGTAAAAGTACTACTTCACAGACCCAAGTCCTAGATGAGGATACACGAGAACAAAATACGATCCACTCCCCAGCTTTCTGTACTACTCCCAAACAAAAGGGGTTGCGTCAAATGCACAGACCATTACCTGCTGGCCCAATTCTTACCTTTTCTACGCTTCTTTCTCTCTGTAATGGGACCCCAAATAACATATATTCCTGCTGCAAGAGCAGCGGCAATTCCTCCTATAACACCCCAGTTCTTCATGACTTTATATCTAGAAAAGAAAACATGTTCACTGTCCTCTCCCATCACAAATCCAGGGTATGGGTATACATACAGTTATAGAATAATATTTTGTCAAAAAAATAACCAGTCAACCCTTTACCTGTTTTTATGTTAAAGTAAATGAACAGGAATTGGACTGTGTCTTTAAACACTTAATAAATACTAGCTACCACACTTGCAAGTACAATGACTCCAGTTCATTCATGGAGTTACTCTTCAGATTTCTTAATGTGTCACTTTGCTTTTCACAAGGTACCTGCCCAGAAGTGGCTGGGAATTAAAGAAGACTGCCACTGACATGCTACAGCCCTGGAAGTGTTTTCAAATCTAATTAAACCCTGCTTGGTGCAAAAAAAAAATCTAATCAGACTGTAAACTTAAGGTTCACACTATTTCAAGACTGTGATCATCTTAGCTCTCCTCACAACAACCCCAAAGGCCAGGTGTGTTGGTATATGCCTATAATCCCTGCCCTGGAGAGGTGAAGACAAAAAGATTGAAAGTTCGAGACCTGTGTGAGATAGAGTGAAACCTTGAATTAAGAAACTAGAAAACAAAAACAAAACAAAACCAACAAACTCACTCAATCCCAAGCATGTAGGTCCTATTATATGACTCCCATATTGAAAGAGGAGGGAGCTGGGAGACACAGAAAACTTGGCAGAGTGAACGAATGTGGATCTGAATCCAAGTTGGATCTGAATCCAAGTTCAAAGTCTGGATTAAAGCCATGAAAAGTTCACTAGGGAGCCAGGCACTAGTAGCTCACACCTGTAATCCCAGCTACTGAGGAGGCTGAGGATCATGGTTCAAAGCCAGTCTGGGCAGGAAAGTCCATAACACTCTTACTTCCATGCAACCAGCAAAAGGCTGAAGTAGAGCTGTGGCTCAAGTGGTACAGTGCTAGACATGAGACCCTGAGTGCAAGCCCCAAAACCAGTACACACACACACACACACACACACACACACACACACACACACACACACACAGAGTCCACTAGGAAAACTGAAAGATACAGATTTGAAAGGAAGGGAGATAGAACTTGTCCAAGTATAAGTGAAAACCTCAGGGAACAAAGAAGGGCTCTGGAAACTTCATTCTGTGTGTGTTGGGGGGATACATGTGTACATGTATGTGCGTGCGTGCATGCACTAGTTTGCACTGTGGCTTGAACTCAGGCCTGGGCACTTTCTCTTAACATCTGCACTCAAAGCTGACCCTTTATCACATGAGCCACAGCTCCACTTCTGGCCTTTTGATGTTTAATTGGAGACAAGAGTCTCATGGACTTTTCAGCCTGGGCTGGCTTTCAACCATGATCCTCAGATCTCGGCCTCCTTGGTTGGTTTGGTTTCCGGGGTTGGGCCCCCGGCCGTTTTGGAATTTCCTTTCTTTTCCAAGTTTACCCCCGGGGGGAGATGTAGGACTTGGAGGTAAAGAAGTCTCCTTGATCAGTTCTTCAGTGTGTTGTGGGGCCTCAGGCAAGGATGTCTTAAGACCCACATCCCCACCTTGAAATCAAGGTCCAGAACAGGCTTTCAGTCCTACATAAGAAGCTATTTTGCCCTCGTTCCAGAGGAAGCCAATCTGAGCCACAGGGTCTCAGGCATCTAGGGTCAGTCAGCAATAGGGGTGTGCCGCTCAGCTCTGAAGCCTGGGGCACTTGGGAAGGTGAATAGGAGGAGAGAAATGGGGGCTGTGACAGGACTAGGGACAATGGGGTCCTGGAAGGAATAAAGAGCCTGAAATTGTTAGCAGGACTGGGGGAGGCGGGGGTTGTGGAGGCGTGCGCACGTGGAGATCCCTCTTGGCAGAATGGGGTGGGGGCGGCAACAGGAATAGGGGGGGGGGGTCCTGACAAGATGGGTCTGCAGGCCTGGGACACTTACATGATTGTGAGAACCGAGGCAGGATTGAGGAGCCCCAGGTCAGTGCAGGGGCTGACAATGACTGGGAAGCCCAGAAGGATCCGGGTATCCTAAGAAGACGGAGGGGTCTCGACAGGCTTAGGGGGCGCTGATAGAATTCGGGAGCTTCGAAGTCCGGGGCCACTGACAGGATCGAGAAGGCAACGCAGGAGGGGGTGGGGGGCGGCGAGAGGCCTCGAGGGGTACAGACCGAACTGGCGCCGCCGCAGCGCTGGGGACCCAGAGTGGCGTCACCCTCCTTCCTCGGGGCCTCCTCCGACCCTTCGGGACCCAGGAGCTTCGGAGTCCTCGGCCCGGTGACATCGACGCGGGGGGGGGTGTGTGGAAAGGCCGCCCCCGGGCCCGGGCGTCTCCGGCCGCCCCGCCCCGCCCCCTGAAGCTCACCTGACCGCCGCCCCGGTCCGCAGGAAGCGCTGGATGGCCCTGTCAGCCGCGGTCATGGCTGCCTGGGCCCGGGAGCTCAGCATGGTGGCCCCCGCCGGAGGCCAGGCGCCGTCCCCGCCGTCCCCGCCGCCTCCGTGACCGCTCCCCGAGGCTCCCCAGGCGGCGGAACCCGCAGTTACGACCCCACCTCCTCGGGAGGGGAGGGGGGGGCGGGGAGGAGGGAAAAGAGAGCCCGGAGGACAAGCTCCCGAGAGGACCGGAAGTGACTCCCGCCGGAGAAGAATAGCTGACGAACCCGCGTCTCCGCGGTTTCCTTTTTCCCCTTAGCAACGGGAGCCGCTGTCGGTTGCCAAGGGAGGCCCCGCGGCCACGTTCCTCACGCGTGCTTCCCGCACCCGCCCGCGCGTTACTCGCGTGGGACGTGCCGGGAACCCGAGACACTGAGAGAACCGGCGCCTTCCGAGTAACGTGTAAGACAAGGAGGGGGGGCAGATTGGTGGTGGGGGGGGGTACACGCCCGTCATCTACCGCAGGAGGCTGCGATCTGACGATGGTTCGAAAAAGGCTGGAAATGAGTGCTAGCCTAGCGTGCATGAAGCCCTGGGTTCGATTCCTCAGTACCACATGCAAAGCCAGAAGTGGCTCGAGGGATAGCGTGCTAGCCTGGAGGGGGAAAAAAATAGAAGCCCAGGGGACAGTGCTCAGCCCCTGAGTTCAAGCTCTCGGACTGGCAAGAAAAAAGGTACAAATGGAGCTGTGGTTCAAGTGGTAGCATGCTAGCTTTGAGCAAAGAAGCCTGGGTCATGAGTTCAAGCCCCAGGACTGGTACAGAAAATAGTAATAATAAATAATAAGCCAGACAGATACTACACGATCTTATATTTTTAAAGCTCAGAGGTAAATACCAAGCTAGGCCCCTAACACTGAGCAACAACACCCCCCAGTCTCACAAAGCAGGAAGTGAAATCCTAATTCTCTCTCTGGGTAAACTATGAAATAAAATTTGTGCTCATAAAATAAATTTTTTTTTTACAAATCTCAAATATGCAGATGGAGCACCTATTTACCACAAATGGGGAGGAGAGGAGATGACAGAGGTCCAAGGGTATAAAAGAACAGCTTTGTAGGGTGCCTGGAGCCAGAGATCTAAGGTACAACATGAGGTTCACAGAGAACAAAATTGTATTGGGGATTAAACAAGATCTTTGTCACACCCACAAAAATGTATGGCTATAAAATGGCACATCCATTCATCTCTTTCATTATAGTAACCTTTTTACTTTCTACTGGGATACATATTCCATGAATCATATATCCTGTCATGTCATGCTGTAAACCTCCAATGTGCTCAAAAAAAATTTTTTTTATTACAACAGCTATGCAGTACAACAATCTCCACAGAGGCAAATGATAATCCGAACTGGACCTGGTGGCTCTATGCTTCAACGAGGAGAAAATAATACAGTTAAAGGAAATGAGAGATAGGATGTCCTCACACACTCAGCTTGTGCCCGTGCTTGTGCCCTTTGAGGGACATAAGCATCGTTTCAGCCAGTCTGAGGTTTCCTTTTTTTTCTTACTTAGTTCTGTCTCAGAGCTACTAAAAACAAAGAGAATCAGTTGAGCACCAGAGGATCATGCCTGTAACCCTAGCTACTCCATAGGCTGAGATCTGAGGATCATGGTTCAAAGCTAGCCTGGGCAGAAAAGTCTGTGAGACTCTTATCTCCAAATAACTACCCAAAAGCTGGAAGTGGAGCTTGTGGCTCAAGTGGTAGAATGCTAGCCTTAAGCAAAAAAAGCTCAAGGACAGTGCCCAGTGTTAGGTTTTTAAAAAGAGACAGCCTAGTAAGAACAGCAGCACGCACGTGGTATTCAGGTAAGGGGTAGGTTTATTCATCGTTCTGGCCGGCACCAGGCCATGTTGGCCCTCCACCCAGCTGGGAAAGGCCTCGGAAAGAGAGAGGGAGCTGGGAAAGAGAGAGAGCTGAGGAAAAGAGCTAAGAGAGCTAGAAAAGAAAGAAAATAGCTAGAAAATATCAGAGCTAGAAAAGAGCAGAGAGAGAGAGAGTCTGGGCCTGGGCTAGGCCTTATCTAGTATATGGGCGGAGAAAGGTGTAGCCACATCAAATTCAGATGTGACCTCAGCGGTTGCCGATGTGACCTTCCAGGTGTCCCATTTGCCTAGGTAACGCAGGTACTGGGTGGAGACTTTGTGCGAGGAGGGTGGAGTCTGCTCGCCATCCAGGAGAGGACCTTACACTCAGATCCTGAATTCAAGCCCCAGAACTAGGTTTAAAATTTTTAAAAGGAGGAAGAGAGGGGGGAAAAAAGAGGCAAATGGAACAAAGAGTAAAATAACTTACATCATCACATTACATTAGTACCTTATATTATCACACACTTAAGTGGATCAAACTCTTCAGTTAAAAGCTAGAGATCAGAAGAATGGCTAAAAATAAAGTCCAACTATAAATTGTTGAGTCTCCTTTCAGCTGGGCACCAGTGGCTCACACCTATAATCCTAGCTACTCAGAAGGCTGAGATCTGAGGATCCCAGTTCAAAACCAGCCTGGACAGGAAAATCCTGGAGACTCTTATCTCCAGTTAACCACCAGAAAACTGGAAGTGGAGCTGTGGCTCAAGTGGTAGAGTGCTTGCCTTGATCTGAAGAGGTCAGGGACAGCGCCCACACTCAAGACCAGAGCTCAAGCCCCTGGACAGAAAAAAAAAGTCTCCTTCCAGATTCACAATAGATAGAAAGTGAGTATGCTAATAGCAGACAAAATAGACTCTAACACAAACACACAAACATTGTAATTAGAGACAGGCATGAGTTTTTTAATGACAAAGGGCCAATCCATCAAGAAGACGTAGCAATTGTAAATGTACACACTTAATAGAGCCTCAGAGTAAATGGGTGGGGATTAGATAGAAGGAGGAAGTGAACAATTCAATAACAATAGTTGGAGATTTCCCTACTCCACTTTTAATGATGGATTGAGCAACTCCAAAGAAAGGAAAACAGAATGCAGCAGCACTACAAATCAGTGCTTTCCCCTCCCCCTTCTCTCCTTATTTTTTCTTTCTTTCTTTCCTTCTTCCTCTTCTTTAATTTTTCCTCTTTTTTTCTCTCCCTCCCTCTCTCTCTTCTTCCCTCCCTCCCTCCCTTCCTTCTTTCCTTCCTTCCTTCCTTCTTTCTGCTATGGTCTCACTGTGTAGCCCAGGCTGACCTCAAGCTCATAATCCTCCTGCCTCAGCCTCCTGAATTCAGGGATTACAGGTATGTACCACCATACCTGGCATAAAAACATTAATAGACATTTATAGGGCAGTCTTCTCCACAATAGCAGGGTATATTTTCTTTGTGAGAGGTACATACATTCTCTATATAAACCAGATATATTCTTTAATATAAAACTGTGTGGTAAGTGGCACTGTGGCTCAAGTGGTAGAGTGCTCGCCTTGAGCTAAAGAGCACAGGGACAGTGCCCAGGCCCAGAGTTCAAGCCCTGCAACTGATAAATAAATAATAAAAAAGAAGTTTAAAACCGTGTGGGGCTAGGAATGTGGCTTAATGGTAGAGTGCTTGCCTAGCATGCATGAAGCCCTGGGTTCAATTCCTTAGTACCACATAAACAGAAAAAGAAGAGGTGCTGTGGCTCAAGTGGTAGAGTGCTAGACTTGAGCAAAAGAAGCTCAAGGACAGTGCCCAGGCCCTGAGTTCAAGCCCCAAGACGGGCAAAAATAAAATAATGAAAAAAAAAAAGTATGTTTGGGCACAAAACAAATTTCAACAAAATTAAAGGGATTTACCTGACAAATTCCAAAAAAAGGCATTTATCTTTATGAACTTAAAACATTGACTTCCTTTTAAAATTAAGTTCAATTTTCATAATGAGTAGATTGTCATCTGGATAAAAATAGGGTTTAGGACACAGTTGACTTAGGAACTGCTTGTATAGAATATATGCTATTTTTTTTTTTTTTGCCATTCAGTCTTGGGTCTTGAACTCAGGGCCTAGGCACTGTCCCTGAGCTTCTTTTGCTCAAGTCTAGCACTCTGCCACTTGAGCCACAGCACCATTTTTGGCCTTTTCTGCTTATTTGATACTGAGGAATCAGTAAGCCACCTTCCCAGCCCCTAGTGTATGCTTTTATGTTTTCAATAGTTTAGGCAAAGAGAATCTCACTCATCTCTATTCAAGTCTCTATTTTAAAATGCCTTGCTTTAAGAAGCAGATGAGGGGGGCTGGGAAGGTGGCTCAGTGGTAGAGCGCTTGCCTTGCATGCATGAGGCTCTGGGTTCAATTCCTCAGCACTGCATAAGTAAAAAGAAAAAAGACAGAAGTGGCGCTGTGGATCAAGTGGTAAAGCGCTAGCCTTGAGCTGAAGAGCTGAGGGACAGCGCCCAGGCCCAGAGTTCAAGCCCCACGACTGGACCCAAAAAAAAAAAAAAACAGAATCAGATGGGGAACATCATAATGCCTTACCCTGGTATAAAATAAAGCCCATCTGGCTGTTTCTTGTCGTCGTCTTCTCCTCCTCCTTCTTCTCTTCTTTCTTCTTCTTCTTCTTCTTCTTCTTCTTCTTCTTCTTCTTCTTCTTCTTCTTCTCCTTCTTTTGTTCAAGTACTAGGGCTTGAACACAGGGTCTGGGTGCTGTCCCTTAGCTTTTGCTCTACCACTTGAGCCACACCTACACTTTCAGCTTTTTGCTGGTTAATAGGTGATAAGAATCTCATGGAGGGTTGGGAAGGTGGCTCAGTGGTAGAGCGCTTGCCTTGCATGCATGAGGCCCTGGGTTTGAAATTCGTCAGCACCACATAAGCAAAAAGAAAAAAGCCAGAAGTGGCGCTGTGGCTCAAGTGGTAGAGCGCTAGCCTTGAGCTGAAGAGCTGAGGGACAGC